CAGCAGTTCAGGATACGAACCAATGTAGCTGTGGCTTTTTATGCGAGAAAAAGGACAAGATAACCTATTGTAGCCCTGCCATATATATATATATATATATATTTTAGGAAATTAGATAATTTTGCAAAGAGCTTTTATCAAACACCTCAAGTGAGTAAGGTTTGCGGCTTCACTATATATATATATATATATAATTTAATTTTAAGAGTGATAATAATACTATTTTTTATGTAATATTAAAGCTTAAATTAGATGAACTTTATATCTAAATATGAAAGTTTTAAGTATGAAAAATGTAAATACAATAAAATTGTTGGCTATATATGTAGAGGGCACTTATTTTAAAAGAGATTTACATACATATCACATAGCTTTAAAGTTTAATATTTACACTTAAAATATAAATATATACATGATGACATAAGTTATATTATGAAATAATTTATTTTTGTTAGAAGTTATGAAGATTAAATTTATTTTTTAATATGACTTTATTTTTTTGGATTGAATTCATTTCTTTTCTTATTTTAATCTTTCCTATTTTATGATGTTTCATTTATTTCCAAATAATTATTATAAGTTGATTAATTGAAGATATTTGATGTTATGTCTTTTATTTTATGTTATTTCATTTTTTTTTATTTTTCTTCTTTTAGGATTCATGTAAAGATTATTTATAACTGTTTTTCATATCAATAAAATAATTTCATATTATTTGAATTTAAACATGATATGAGGGTCTTGAAATAAACTCTACAGCAGTCTCCTACCACCAAAAAAATTCCTATTCCCTGTAGCAGCCGACAAACTATAGAGGCTGAAAACTTTTTTTTTCCATGTATCTTTCAGCAGGGGGTCTCTTTCCTTGAATTTTCATCCCGAAAATAATTATAAAACGCTACATCTTGCATCTATCAACACGAAAAAAATTGTATTTAGTGAAATTATTGTATCAGAAGTCCTGATACAAAAGTGCATCATGAGTAAAAGTCTGTCACATATACAGGCAGACACGCTCATATATTAGATTATTTTTTTTTTATTAAGATGTACTCTCTCTACACATGACATAACTTAATTGAACTCCTAAATCCTAATACAAATTGTACTAGGAATGCAATAATTTTTAGTGAAGATAGTTCTGCCACACCTCCCCTTCCTGCAGCCAGACCTTTCTCTGCTTGCAGGCTTCCAGGAACTTGGTCTGGATCTCTTAACCGTACTCTGCAGGACCAGCATTAACGTTCCTTCAATTGAATTATCCCAGCATCAACTGTACCTGTGGTCTATCTTGTTCAGGCAGCGACTCGAAAGATGCAAAGGAATGATCAACTTCCATAAGAAAGCTATTTATATTTGTTCTTCTTTACATGATATTCTTGTGTGGGGAAGTAGTTGGAGGAATCAAAATGAACAGCCTTGCAATTCTTACGGACGCTGCTTAGCTCCTTTCCGACAATGCAACTTTAGCCGTTTCCTTGTTGTCGATCTGGGCGGCAGAATCAAAATTCTAGGAGCACTGGTATTCATCAAGCTTATATGGCTCCCAGATTCCATCCACTGCCCTGCTTGCTGATGGCGTTGGCGAGGCTGCTTAGATCTACTGCAAGCTGGCCGGGCGACATTGACTTCGTTGGATCCCATTCCAGCTGCTCGGACAAGTCTGTGGGCTATGGATTGGACAAATACGCTTGTACGTCTGTTCGCGCTATCCAGTATGCTTGCAATCTCCAGCAAGTGCGCCATTCAGTTATCTACAGCGAGAGCATGCTTGCGATATCAAGCATCGGGCAAGGATCGGGCCCTCCCGGAAAATATTTGCCTACATCCTATGTACGCAGCGCTGCGTACGTCAAGGGTTATTCAGGGGTACAAGGGAGTTATATCCGGGTCATACCCCCTGTAACCTTCGTGTAATTCCCTTGTAACCTCCGTGTAATTTATTTGCACCCATGAAACTATAGAAGCGCGAAACTCATTTGTAGGTTACAGGCAGTTTACAAAGATGTTACAGGGGAGTTACAAAGGGGTATAACCCTGATATAACCCTCCTGTACCCCCTGAATAACCCCTGCACGTACCCATCACTGCATACGCCTTATGTACGCAAATTTTTTCCCTCCTTCAGAGCCTTTCATTAAGTAGGTTCACCCCGGGAGTTTTTTTTGTAACATGAGTTCTCCGGAGCTTTTTTTGTATCAGGTTTTCCTCCCTAATCTTTCCTACGGTATACCCTCCTCCCGAGCTTTTACTGTACTAGACTGCCCTACAGTGTTTTTTTCATTTTTTTTCTTTTTCTTTGTAGGTCATACCTTCTCTACTTCCCACACGCCCCCACAACATTACATATAAGAGTCTTTAGCCTACTTACAGATACTGCAGTCTGCAAAAACTACAGTCAAAGACAACTAAAGTCAATTAGAAACAATTTTTCTTGTGGGTTGTCTACTTCTCTGCAAACTCTTTGCAGCATTATCTATATGAGTCTTCTGTCTATCTACAGTAATAGGGGTGCAAGTCAATTAATTCGACTCGTGATCCGGCTCGATAAATGGCTCGTGAATTGAGCTCGATGAGCTAACAAGCCAAGCTTAAGCCAACCCTGACTTGACATTTTAGCTCATGAGTCGGCTCGTTTAAAAAATTATTAACATAAAATGTGCTCAAAATACATTAAATTTCAAAAATTTATCTTTAAGGTGATAAAAATGTTAAGAAAATAATATTTTTTATTATATATTATGTGATTTTTTATTATTTATCTCATAATTATTCATTTTATTTGTCAACTTAGTATAAAGTTATTTTAAATTAATATAATTTTCTCTCTTTTATAATAACATGTCAACTCGTGAGCCAGCGCGAACTCGTAGACATAAGCTTGAGTTCAATAAAATTAATCAAGCTTAAGCTCAAACTGAGGACGACTTGAGCTCGACTCAACTCGTTTACATCTCACCTACAAACACTGTAGAAACTGTAATTAAAGACAATCACTGTTAACCAGAAGTCAACTTTCTTACTGGTTGACTACTTCCCTACAAACTTTTTTAGTACATTACATGTAGGAGCTTTCCATCTACCTACAGACACTACAAAAACTGTAGTCAAAGACAACCATAATACAGGATGAAGACTTCAAATTCTGCTTCACATGATCTTCTTCGCTCATTGTTTGATGTTTTCAAATGCAAGTTGAACATGGTTTTCAATCATGTTCTAACTTGAGGTGGAGAGAGAAGTTATGAGGATTAGATTTATTTCCTAATATAATTTTATTTCCTTTCCTACTTTAGATTTATTTTCTTGGATTGGATTTATTTCATTTCCTATTTTATATTGTTTCCTTTATCTGAAAATAATTAATTATGAATTAAGTTATGAGGATTAGGTTTATTTCCTAGTATAATTTTATTTCTTTTCCTACTTTAGATTTTTTTTTTGGATTGAATTTATTTCATTTACTATTTTATTTTTTTTCTATTTTATGTTGTTTCTTTTATTTACAAATAGTTAATTATTAATTGATTAATTGAATATATTAGTTGTTATATCTTTCCTTTTCTGTTTTCTTTTTTTTGTCTTTCCTATTCTAATATTCATGTAAGTGTTTTTTATAACCCGTTTTCATGTTAATATATAAATTCCGCATTACTCTGAATTTCAACACATGAAAATGTATATTTCACTTCTAAAAAAGTAGTGATAGTTGTATTTTTTATGAGATGTTAAATAGTTTAGTGATATACATGTAAATATGAAAGTTTAGGTATTATTTAAGATTACTACGACTCAGTTCCTATGTATTTACACATATGACACCTAAACTTCAATTTTTACATAAATACCACCTCTTCTACGTATTAAAACGTGTATTTCACTTCTAAAAAGTTAAAATGGTAGTCTTTTTGATGTGATAGGAAAGATTTTGATGACATAAATGGAAAAAAGCAAAGCTTAATTATTAGGCATGCAAATACATAGGAATTGGTACATACTGCCCAATTCCCATGTATTTATACATCTAACCTGTAATTCTTTTCTCACATTTCTACTACCCAAATATTTCATATAACATAAAAAATATCACCATTTTAAATTTTAAGAATTAAAATATACATTTCCATGGCGACATCTGTAAAAATTATACGTTAGATGTGTAAATACTTCGGAATTGATTGGTATGCATGTAAATCGTCCTCAAAGGTATAGATATGCACTATCTATAAAAAAATATATTATTATCAAGTTAATTGTAATATTGTTGAAAGATCTCGTAAATAATTATCATTATATTTCATATTTGTTGTAACTTTATATTTAGAGGGTTATAAATTGTATGAGATATCTTAGGAATCTTTATTTATTTCTCTCCTTGATTAGAGAGATTAGCTACCCTTTATATTTGATATTATTCATTTTCTTGTCTACTGTATTATGTTTTTATTACTTTCCTTACCGGTAAGTCCTGTAATGAATATTTATAAATTGTATGAGATACATTAGGAATCTTTATTTATTTATCTCCTTAATTAGAATGATTAGCTACCCCTTATATTTGATATTATTCATTTCTTTGTCTACTGTATTCCGTTTTTATTACTTTCCTTACCAGTAAGTCCTGTAATGAATATTTATACCCTTTTTTGCATCAATAAGAATAAGCTCTCTTATATTTTTCCACTTTTTTCAAAATTTAAACAAGCCATCAACAGATTAAATTATTTACAGCTTGGATTGATTTTACTCTTATTCTATATATATGACAGTTCAATGTCGGCACCTTCTCATTTAATTTATAGATTATTCTAAAATATTCTTTAAGAAAAACATAATATATTTTGATGAGCTGAGACAATACAGATGTGAGAAGATCATCCATGGAAGACCTATGCCATGAAAAACAATCTGGAAGAGATCAGCATTCAATTAAAAAGAGAAGAAAGCACAATATCTGTTGCTACTCAAATCAAATTATACAAAATTATATTTTGTTCATCATATTTCACAAAAATATTCATCAACTATCTCTCACTTTTTTTTCTTTTTTACAAGCTATTCTTCATATAGATACCATTCCATTTCTGGTATAATCAGACTATAATCAAACTCTAATTTCAACTTCTATCTGTTCCTAACAATTTCAATCACAACACACAACAGAAGAACTGCTTTCAAATGACAGAGCCTTTTAATCTGCACCAAATCATAAAACAAACATCAATCAAGCCACATAATCATGCAGCAGATTCGAAGAGCCGAATCCGAGCAAAGGAGCTGTGTTGTATATGTCCTCGCCCCTCACCGGAAGGAAGCCTTGCTGGTCTTCAGCATCTTGAAGGTCGCCATCACAATGCTGCAATCCAAGAGTGAGCGAAACTCCATTAGCATACCTCGCAAGCTCTGTCATCGGATACGTGATAAACCTCGAGTTTCCATCAGCATCGGCGTGGCGGATGGCGTCGTGGAGGAGGCTAATGTTGGCTGAATTCTGATGTCTATGGTCTTGCAGCTCAATATGGAAAGCAGGATCTGTGCAAGCCATATTGTTTTCTGGCACGATATTAGGACTATGTTCGTTGCTTGATTGTTTTATTTGGCATCTGTCACCCGTGGAGCTCGGTTGGTCGTCCTGAGCATCAGCGGCATGAAACTCATCTCTGAATTTGGTGGCATTGTCAGAGGAAGAATTGGAGTCCATCTCGGCCTCACCGAACTCTTCTTTGTACATGTCTTCCACCATTGGCTTCCAAAGACGAACCCGTGCATTGATGAACCAGTTTGAAACCTGGAAGAAGAGATTCACAATCATAGATAAATTATTTAGATTGAAGGAAGAGGATTTCATGATGAATCTGAATCATAAAAATTGAATCTTTGAAGAAATAATTGGCAATGAAAATGATGAAAATGCAGCACGAGTGGAGGATTTTATGAAAAGTGGAACAGAAGTATGAACTGTACATAAACTATCCTTTCAACTCATGAAAAGGGATTAAACATTTGATGTCTGTAGACGAAACATGTTTTATATTCATTTTTACTTATTTTGTGTGTGAAAGACCCAATCTTTACACACAAGTTTTATGGATTCAAAGCCAAAACTTCAATTTTCACATACTTGCAACCTTATCTATGCACAAAAAAGATGTATTTCACTTTTCAAAAGTCCTAAACAGTGGAATTTTGTGTGTGATATGAAATATTTGGATGGTATAAATGTAAAAAGTAAACTTTAGGTGTTAGATATGTAAATACATATATACTTGGGCGGCATGTATGAAATGTCCCAATTCACAAACATGTACCAATTTTCAAATCACTGATTTGCCGCTAAAAAATGAAACTTGATCATAACAAACGTACCTGACTTCTTGTTAAGCCTGTTTGTTTTGATAGCATCAACTTTTCAGAATCATTTGGGTAGCTGCAGACAGAAACATATAACCAAAAAAAAAAAAAACAATAATAAATCAGAATAACAGAATCAACAGTCCAATTCTCCAAGCTCCATAAGAAATTGAGGGGCATTTCCATACATAGCACACAATTCTTATGAATTTACATATCTCACACCTAAACTTTCATGTTTACATACACAATAATTTGGTGCTTTAAACCGATACAAGAAAATATGTATTTCACTTTTAAAAAGTGTCAATAGTACCATTTTTTTATGTGATATTAAAGATTTGAGTGATGTATACGTAAATATGAAAGTATGAGACATATAAAAAATTTATAAGAATTGTGTGCTCCGTATATAAATATCTCAAAATCTAAAAGTGGTTTTAGAGCAATACGGATGAAGAAAATGCTCGAAGAGCCAAGCTCGAAGAATAGTAACAGAGTTCTCTGGCAATCCTCTCTGAGGCCTCCAAGCATGTTGTGGCATCATGCCGAGCTGTTGAATGGCCCTTTGCTGCCTTAATTGTTGATCAATGTACCGAAGGCGAGAAATCCCGCATCCTTTGTTTGTCGAGCTATCTAGCTCGCCGAGCATCTTCCGCACGCATCGAAGCTGATCACTGATGGCATCTCTCAGGCTGCGGAAGTGGCGAGAGATCGTCTGAAGGGCGAGGGCTGTGTAAGGTTTTGCTGCATCAGGACCTGATATTGCATCAAAAGATGAAACAACTATCTGCATTTGATGGTAGTATTGCTTGTATCTCCTGTCAACCTGCATGGGAGATGAGGTAATCATATTAACCCAATGCATTAAAAAATTGCGGTGCTAGAATTAGCTCTGTCAAAAAGTTCGTCATAAATTCATGTGCAAACTATTCAAGTTTTGTTTGCTAGGTAGCCCATGTTGGATTTGTTCGTTAAGAAAACGAGCCAAATATGAACAAGCTTTCGTTTGATCATGTTTAACTTATTACAGCTCCATTCACTTAAATAATTAAATAATATTATTATAATTTTTTATATTGTATTTATAATATTTTAAATCTTTTGAGCTAAATTCATGCTTAACATGAGCTGAAACAAATAAATGAATTTGAATCCAGCAGAACAAGAAAATGCTAATGACGATCCATTTCAAACATGAACCTATTTTAAATGAGCGAACATGAACAATCATTCAGCTCGCTCAAGCTTGGCAAATTTACGCTCCTAAACATGATATGTCAATTGTGGGTAAAGTATAATTTTTTTAGTATTGTAAGAAATCAAATCATCTTGCATAAAATAATGAGTTTTCCGAAAGGTTCCAAGCCATTATGTTTTAAGCAAACTTTCCCACACAAAACAAAACTACTTTTTGAAAAGCAAAGCATGAAAAAAGTAGAATCAAACAAAGTCTCAATGATTTGTAGATAAGAAAAATGATGTTGGCTAGAAATTTGTTAGCCATGACTTCTATGGAGATCAAACATTTCCAACTAAACAACAAAGAAAAAGTGAAGGATAAAAGGGTAATTTCCCTGCAGTGGATAAGGAATACTATTCTCAGCAAAAATTTTCTTTAGGGTGACATCAGAAAAGAGAAAAGCAAAAAGGAAAATTGTCAACAAAGAAAATCACATTAAGAAGCATGGCTAAAATAACTAGACATTTTTCCTTTTGTAAAGAGAAATTTTTGAAACTAAAAGCATTTCTGACACTAGAGATAATAAAAATTTAGCATGAAATATAGCTGAAAATCATATTATCATGGTTTAGAATGATCATTACAATCCAAAATTATTGTAATAGCCTCCATGTATGATATTCCATGAAAAGGCCAATAGGCAACGGGTAAAGTAAACATTACAAATTACAAGGTTCGATTAGATCGTCTTAAATTATTTGAAGATTGAAGCACTATAAAATCATTCGTCACTGTGTAGATCATAGAAATTACACACCAAGTAGGATGCTGCAATGGCCAATTAATAAAGATAGAAAAAAGGACCAAAATGGTCCGCCGACTATTTCAAGTAGGCCAAAATGATCCCAAATTATGTAAAAGGCCAATTTAGTCCTCATATAATTTAAATAGGAACCAAAATGCTCGCCCAATGGAACTGTTTAATCCCCATACTTTAGTCCACTTTTAAATAGCCTGGCGACTAACTTGACATTTAAAATAATATGAGGCTATTTTGGCCCCTAAAACTAGCCAGGCCTGCCGAGGACTAATTTAATTCTTTTTCAATAAAAATATCACACAACGCAGCTACAAAATATAAGAAAAAGGCCCAAATGAAGAAGAGTTTTACATATAATAGTATGTTTTATTTATCTTACTAGTAATTGAGGGGCCTGAAACTAACTTAATTTTGCAGTTATAACCATATTGTAGCATAGAAGGTTTAATACAACAGGACATGCCATTAACTTATCTTCCTGTACAGTTTGACAATATTCTCTTTATTTAGTACTTGTAGATTGTAAGGTGAGTGAGATACTATCAATATTATGGTAAAACAAAAAAAAAAGGGAGGATTGCAATAAGAAAAAAAAAATCCTCCTCTAGCCTATGCGGCCATCTTTAACTCATGCTGTAGTTTTCCACACAACTTTTTGTAAACTGAAAACTCTTTACAACTCCTAAAATAATGCCAAAATGCTACTATTTTGCATATATATTTACTAAATTTTGCCCTTTATCATAAATTGTTTAGTTCTCTGAAGAAGACTAAATCATCAAACAGGGATAAGAAAGATCAACAGATCTGATGAGCTAAGGATATGAAGGTTAAACTGTTAAAATTTAAAGTTTGGGCGCGCATGTGTGTGTGTTTAGGCATCTGTGAAGGTTATGCCATGTGAACCGCAGCCTTAAGCTCTCCCCATTTTTGCACCTTCTCTTCATATAGTGAATTTTCTTCCTGTGATTTTTCCCAACAAAGATTTTTCACGTAAATCTGTGTGTAATTTCTTTTGTCTTTTATTGTTCATCACAACGATTTTATAGCACAAACAAACTTTAAGTGAAGTTTTTCCAAATTTCCTTGAGCTTTATTCATACATACAGACATACATAACGCAAACTACTCCTACGAAAAAGGCATTACATAAGACAAACCGGCTGAAGAAACAGAAAAAAAAAAAGGTTGAAAAAAAGCACCTTTATTTGGATCTATAAAAATAAATTATAGAAATGCATGATGAGCATATAATCCGAAATCCACCTATAATAGAGGCGTTCAATAAGACAAGCCAGTTGAAGAGAAAAAAAATGTGGAAAGAAGAAAAAAGGCACCTTTATATAGTTCTATATCAGTAAATAATAAATATGAATTCTAAGTGTCTACTCCAAGTTCTTCCTGCAATAGAGACGTTGGATAAGACAATTCTGCTGAAGAGAAAAATTTAAAATGTTTAAAGAAAAAAGCGCCTTTATTAGTTAAATATCAATGAATTATACATATACATTCGGAGAACTTTAAATTCTAATATTAAGGATTTGAGTGAAATGCATGTAAAAATGAATGTTCAAATTGTACATGTGGAAAGAAGTAAGAGTTGTGTGGTATGTATGTAAATGCCCTGAGAATTACTCTTAGAATCATATCAGCCACACATATGCTGCATGTATCCTCTAAATAAAACATAATATGGATAAATTACATTCAAAATTGGCACAATTAAGAAAATCAGATAGCAAATTACAGAACCTGATGCTTACCTTCAGCTCAATCAAAATCTAGAATTCTTCAATGCACTAAAGTCTGAGCTTAATAGTTCTGATTCGTGTTTTACTTAACGTTATATCATTTAACAATAAGTTATAGCAAAATTACATCAAAAAATGAAAAAAAAAAACTTTATCGAAAAGAAGAAAATGGAAATGCAGCAGAAATTTTCAAACTAATATAAACTCCAACCTTCTGTTATAATTGCAATGTAAGCTAAAGAACAATGAACAATTAGACAAAAGCGCATGAATCCTTACCTCATCCAACATAGCCAAAAGCTTGGTCATTTTATTCTGAAGCTCCTGCCTTTCTGACGGCGAAAGCTCACCAGAAGAATTTGCAGTAGACCCGGGATGATTCGACGGACTCCCCCCGCTCTTTGACTCTCCATCATTGTCCCTGCAAGCAGGTTTACCGGAAGCAATACCACTCTGAGTACAATCACCTTTCTTCTTCAGAGCCTTCTGAACATTAACAACTTCATCAAGCAGCTGCTGAGCAGTTTTAAGGTACTTTGAATTCGGAATAATGGTCAAGAAGTTCGAAAGCCCATATGAAATTGCATTGACATTCAGAATTCTGCTTCTGGAGTTGTCATTTCTGTATGCCTCACCATTTTCTGAACTCGATTGATGCGAAGAACTCAAGATGGGCACATCAGATCCAGTGGGTTGATACTTATAAGTCTGAACTGGAATCTGCGTGCCGAGACTGAGCGACAATCCTTGCTGTAATGACAAGTTATTTTCATTCAGCATACTTAACTGTGTCTGAAGGCCCAGATGGACACCCTCATCATCCATTGATTCGCCATTTGCTTGCATGAAAAGCATCTCATTTCTCCCATCCTTCCAAGAATTGTAAGCAGTTTCACCAAGGTGAGGCGCGACTAAGTCAGTAAATCCAATGCTGTTTTGTTCAGACTGTATGTTTTCTGCTAAAGTTTCAGAGTAAGGACCGGATGAGAAGTTCAGATAAACCATGTTGGGGTTAACGGCTGATTCGGGATACATGGGAGGCCCTGTTGGATCCCTCAAATAAAAATTTGCCATGGAATCCCTTTGATTGTTGGAGCTGGGGTAGAAAGTTGCCATCTTTCTTTTCTTTAAGATTTCCCAATTGAAGAATCAAAAATGAAAAATTTTGGATGCTGAGTAAATCACCATGAACATCAAGTTCAGATTCTTGTTCGTTCAAAGAGGAATTATGTGTATTATGCAGAAATTATGCGCTGCAAATATAAATACAAAAACATTATCAGTTCTGATAGAAAGACGATAAAAATCAAATTTTTTATGTCAAAGAACAATAAGAGGAAAACAATGATTAAACAAGAAGATTTCTTTGTTCACTGAACAAGAGCAGAGAAAGTTAAAGAGTTCAATTCAACTTTAATCGAATTATAATGATGAAAAGTTGGACAAACGTCAGTGGAAAAACTATTTTTGAAAAGGAATTACAAAAAAAAAATCTTGAAAAAGCAATCAAGCTCAATATTTCCACGAATTCATTAGCAGAACATAAAATCAAAAATTTATCTTAATCAAACAAGGACAAAAAATTCACAGTTAGTTCAATCATCATACAAATTTCAGATTGTTTCGTGGTATATTTTCTGCTGGTATTTACTGGTAAAAGACCTTTAAAATACCAATAAATTGCAATTTCTTGAAATTGACATGAAAAATAAAAAATTCTTGCGACAAAGAAAATTATAATCAGAAACTATTTAACTCTGAGAAAATCTTCATTTCAGTCTTTGACAGAAGAAAGAAAAAAAGAAAATAACAAAGGAAGCTCTAAAAAATATAATATAACCAAAATTCATCAGACAGACAAAAAAGCCCAAAAATTGAAAAGCTTGGATAGGTTGTGGGGATTGAGGAGCTTAAAAAAAACCCTAGCTTCAGAGAAATAATCCATCGAGCCAAAGCACAGTAATCATCTAAGCCTATAATCCCTTCCCCCCTCCAATTTCTTAAAGAAGCCAACAATTGAAAATCACTAAAACAGATTTTTTTTCTTCTGCTGGTGAAAGATTATAGATAAAGATCGAACTTCAGCTCTAAATTAGAGTCAAACTCATTACCTGAAAACCCTATATCCCAAAGAAGAACACAACAAGAAGCAAAGACCAAGAACAAGAAAAGCTAAGCTTTTACAACCAGAAGAACTTCGTCAAGCAAATATAATAAGCACAAAACCAATTATTATACAACCAATACACAGTAGGACAGTAGTTGGTACCATCCACAAAAACATAAATAAATTAAACTCAAGAAAACTCTGCCAGATTACAGAGAAGAGGATTAAAAACAAAACAAGTAAAAAATAAAAGAAAAAACTGATAGGAGATGTGAAGGGCATGATGTGCGCCTTATAGGGAACAAAAAGAAACAAATCGATGCCGATCTGCTGAGAAAAAACTCCCAGTTTGGAGACAAACTGATCCCAAAACACAAAATAAATTTAAAAAAGGAGCTCTTTTTATCAGCCTTATTAAAAAAAAACCAAGATCGCCAATTGAAATCAACCCAAAATCTAACCTTTTTCACAATTTCAATTGTTTTTTTTTTCCTCCATCTTCTCTCCAGAATCCCTTTTCAGCAGTATTCTAATCACCACGCTTCTCTTTCTATCCCTTTCTCTCTCTTCATCAAATGTTCATCATCATCAAACCCAACATTCTATCCTGCACGTGAGACATCATCTCAATTAGAGAATAGTACTGTTGAGCTCTCCCTCTCTCTCTCTTCTCTCAGCTTTCCTAGTTTTAACTCTCTTTAAATCCAAGATTCAGTTGCTTCTCAAACTTCTTTGGAGAGATGGTTGGCGCTTGTGTGGTTAAGGAGCCTTATCTGTCAACCACTAGTTGGTAGACCTAAACCTTCTCGTAAAAGGCTCAAATCCTCACTATAGCTCTCTTCTCTCTCTTCTCTCTCTCCTTCTTCTCTCATTTTTTCTCTCGCAAAATTAATGATTTTTCCCCCATACCAGAAAGAAGCTGCATAAATCGTTGTTCAAAAACATTATTAATTGACCAATATTACAATGAAATAAAAAATAGCAAGTTACCTCTTTTGATGAATTATACAGTAGTTTTTATATATTATGAAAAATTTGATCTTTCTTTTTAAGAGAGCATAAAGCTTACTTTTTTATTAGTTCCTGTGATTCTATTTCTTCTACTTTTCCCTTCTTTTCAACTTCCAATTTGGCATTTCCCAATTTAATAAAGAGGGCATCTTGTGGAAGCAACAAGTTTGAAAATAAATATCACAGGAAGAAATTATTGATTTTTAAGAATAATTTTATGTAAGAAAATATATATTCATCCTGAATTTTTAATAGTAATTTTTGAAAATTTTACCCATTAACTCTATTTATTTTATAAAATTTTTATTGAACATTGTTAATTAATTTATTCAAAAATAGTATATTTCACTTTTTAAAAGTTAAATAGTGATATTTTTTTATATGATATGAAAGATTTAGATGTTATACATTGTAAAAAGTAAAATTTTGATGTTAGATAAGTAAATACATAAGAATTGGTTGGAATGTATGCAAATGTCCCTATGTTTAATATATGCAATTAGGGCTGTCAAAATGACTCGTTGTTCGCGAACAACACATGTTCGAATGATTGTGTAGCTCATGTTTGATTCATTCGCTAAGCAAACGAGACGAACAAAAGCAGTTTTTTGTACTTGTCATATAAATGAGCCAAACACGAACAAAGATTTGTATGTTCGTGTTCAGCTTGTTTTGACTCAAAATAATTCTATGTAATTAGAATTTAGTTGATGAGTGTTTTTTTTTTAAATAATTTAATTGAATACAAGGCTATAAAGATTTATAATCAGTTATTGATTAAAAAATAGAATAAAAACATATTATACTCTAGTTAAATGAATATTTTAATATTAATATTGAGATTTAAATCTCAATCTTTAACATCGTACGACTGCATGGCTAAGGCTGTAACAAATGCTCATTGTTCGCAAACAACTCGAGTTTAGCTCACTAAGCAAAAAAGCAAAACATGAACAAATTCAATTAGCTCGATATATAAAAGAGCCGAACAGAAACACTGATATTTTTTAACGAGTCGAACACGAGATAAGCCCTAGCTCGCTCAAGCTCGGCTCAATTACACCCCCTACATGCAATGTGGATGAATATTATGAAGATTCAAGGAGTTTCAATCTTTAAGAATTTAAGAGGTGTTTCCAATTATTTAGTTTTTTATTTTAATTTCAAATGAATTTAATTGTATAGGACTATCTTGATGCAATTATGTAATAAAATGTTCTTAATTATGTTACAAATGTTCATATTTAGAGGACATGTAAATATAAATCAATACAATATCATAAATCAAATTTAATTTAAATATTTTGTAATTGCGAACATTTTATCCTATAAATTTAAATATTTTGCTATGCCATATGGTACAAATTTATATATATATTTTTTTTTTTTTTTCCAATTGTCTTTTTTTATCATAAATAAACAAAATATCATATGTATGATATCTTAATACACCAATTTTTTAATGACCTCCTAGACCTCTCTAATTGCATAGGATTGTACATGAAAAACGTGGGGGGGCAGCCGCCCTGCAATAAATGATTAGGATACTTAATTGCAGTATTATTTACTCTGCCGTAGCTAAATTATCTTCCTTTTTTAAAAGAAATATTCTCTTGAAGGTGTGGGGCATAGCATTTTACATTTTTTTGTTATTTATTTGTTAGCTTATTTTCTCATTCGTATATTTTATGATGTTGAATTCAAAATTATCCAGAAAACACGCTCAAAAAATAGAGCGATGAGGGGAGAGAGAGAGAGAGCAACGAGAGCAAAAACACAGTATAAAACAGTAAATTCGTGTAACATTTATTCATGAAGTGGACCACTATTTATAGGGATGGGAGAATGTACAATTGCACTCTGCAGTGTACGTAGATATGACAGGTATTTAGTCAATACATGAATATAAAGGTGGGGAGACCTGCTTAAGACCGGACGGGGTATGAACCCTGAAATTTCCCAGACATGGCCGGAACCTTGAAACTTCCCGATCGGACAGGGTCGAAACCTTGGAAAGTTGTCATGTAGGATAGAGTCGGGTGCCTGTGACAGCCTCTCGCATGACCTCATTTTTAACCAGGCGACTGTTTGCTGGCTAGGGACCTGTGTAAACTGTTAATTTGGCTATTTGTTGAGAATTCACCCCTATGTAGATTGGGCGAGAAGTTCCGGCTAGCTATTTCGGGGACAGACAATTCACTTTGTTAATTCGGGCGGAACATATAAAGGTGTCGGATTTATCTGTGTGGCTCCTAAGCTGGCAGGTTGATTTTTAGAAAAATGGTCAAATTCCATTGGTCTGAGAAATGCTTTCCTTCTGGTCTATAGAAGCTGGCTGAGGAGGCGTGGGGTATCGGATCATCTCTGACGGGCACCCCACAATGCCACGTCATCTTTATGCGTCTGTTGTGGGATATCCTTGAGATGCATGCTGACACATCCTTGATGTATAATTTGCAAATATAATTATAGATAATTTAAGAAAAAAAATTTCGATGTAACTTAAATTTTATTAAATAGTAGCATGTAAATTTTATTGCACCTACGGGCGAGCATTTGGTCAGTTTGAATGGATCAATTTTCAAATGGGTTGCAATTATTGCAATCGAAATTCAAATTCTTTCAATTTGAACCTACTAAAGATATGAAATTAAAAATATGTTTGTTATAAATATCTAATAAAACATTATTATTATTTTTTTTCATAATGAAAATTATCAGTGATGTGGCACTATAAAATGCATCAAATACCAATTTCAATTAATCTTGAGCGCTAGTTTAGCATATAACAAGAGACAGATGCTTGCATTATGAGGAATGATTGAACAATAAAATGTCAAGTTATGCTGAAATTTTTTTTCTTAAATAGTTCTTATGTTATGTTAAAAGTTCTGGTAGTATAGAGGGAGGTTAATCATCTTAGCTATGATGGCAAAACCATAATTATTGGATAAAACAAATTTAATAAATAGGCGAAAAAATAAGGGGCTTTTTATATGAAAAGTCTTTGAAAAGAGAAATAATGTGGGGATTAACCTCATTGAGATAAAAAAATATTATGGCTGTTGTTCGGACGTGTGGACTACATCATGGATTGTAGCATGTCATGTGTCTGGCGGCGTGGTGTGATCCACACCGTTGACAACACGTCTGGTTTACTAAATGTAATATTTTCTTCGTTGAGATAGCTTTCAACGATACTAGAGATGAATTATGAAGATCAACCATTTCTACAGCTCTTAGTAGGGTCGATACAAATAAGTTTAAAGTAGGCTTTTTCTAGCATTCTTAGTAACGGTGATGCGATAAGATGGGTAATGGGGACAATCCTCCTACATAGCAGAAGCTCACCACATTTCTTGAACACGATGGGTAAAGTGATTTTAAGATATTAAAGAGGCCGCAAAGGATGAATAGGGTAATCTTTGCTTGTGTGTGTGTGTTAAGTTGAAGGCAAAACAACCTTAGGGAAACCAAAAAAAAAAATGATGTTGGAAATTTGGGAAGACCGTTAATGATGGTTGATTCTATATGAGGTGAGGTAGGAGTGGCCTAAACGTTGCGAGAAAGGGTTATAAGAAGATTGTATGGGGAGGAGACATAAAGGTACTTCGGATGATCTTATTTCTATAGGTAGAGATGATATGATCTTAAGATGATTATCAACCGACCATAATATAATCTCATTCCAAGGGGAGGGAAAATTTGGTAGCATTCAGTGGTAGGTGAAGCTTTAGAAGTAGTTTTTGAGAGTGGCCTACCCTTCCTTTTAAGTAATGAAAGACGAGAGGAGTCCTTATCAATTCTCTTATTTATGATTAATTCACTCGTAAAAATGTTACGATAGTCCCATGTAGAAAAAAGTGAAATCATGTAAGGGCTTGACCCTTGAGAATAATTGGGAAGAAAAGATAAAAGAATGATTTAAAGGCACTTTGAATGTGTGTAGTAGTCTAAAATTGATTTACATGATCGTACGAGTTTAATGAAACATAATAGGAACTAATACATTTTATCTAGAGCCATGCTAGTAAATGATGTGCTAGGTGGAATTATCAATTGGCTAGCACACTTGTAATTTTCATTGCATAATATGTTAAAGCAACACTCCCTTCTTACTAGACATGCATTAGAGCTCATCGTTTCTAAGGAATTTTTAGGGCCCGACAATATATAACATCGAATGATTTAGCATCATTATTCAAGTGATTATGATCCAATAATTGATTTTTAGAATTAATGCAATCCTTTCCAAATAGTGGTAGAGGAGCTCAGATCTAAATCTGAGAGTGTACTGTTCTCTAATTGAATATGAGGGATAAAGAATTGAATAAGATTTTTCATAATGGTTTTTATTATTGATATTTAAACAAAATAAATATTTTTTCCTATGATCCATGCATATATTAGTTATGAGTATTTAGGGATAGACCAAGATCACCCTTAATAACAAATTTTCTACCATATAGAGGGGACAATGAGTTTAGCTTAAATGATGTCATTAATTTTCAACTTAATATGATAAACAAACATTATTTTTTTTTATTATTTTATTAATCAGACTAAAAAAATTGTGTGTGCATTAATTTTATTTATATATAAACATTATAAAGTTATTATCCAGCTAAACATGCTCAAATAAGGTCATGGTGATGTGTGACTCCTTAAGTAAGTGAATGCACAAAAGTACATTGAACTAATAAAAATATAATTGACAATTATACTCTTCTTTTGAGAAGGAAAATCAAAAGTTCGGATTAAAATTATTAGTTTAAGGGTGAATTTTTCAATTAGTTAGAATTAGGAGAAGACATTCTAACATTATATGATATACATTTACTCATTTGTGGAGGTGAAAAAATCCATACCTTTGAGTAA